AATAACAACCTAAATTCATAATGCTTAAATTTATGGGTGTTTTTTTCTTAGTTGGGTTTTTTTATTACACTTGTGAAAAGTGCTTGATTTGAGATTGCTGGAAATTTGAATCTGTTCATCCACATCATGCCTGTCTACAGGGCTGGTAATGCAAGCTTTTCCAGGCCTCAGCCTTGTTCTCACTCAGCTCTGGGGTTGAGCTGAGTGTGTAAAAATAGACTAGACTATGTGGCCTTTGCCTTCGTTAGATCATGAAATAATATCTTACCCTATTGGGACTGATTAATTTCCCTCCCCTCCCCCCCAGTAATTTAAAAAAAAAAAAAGAAACAGCGTGAATCAAAGGAGTTTGAGAGACAAATCTGTTTGTAAATGGATGTTTGTCCTTTACGGAAAATTGAAGTTAAGTGAAAGAATTTATCTTTTCCATACTTGATGTTTTCCTTAAATGTTGGCTATATCATCTTATGCTTGGGATTTTTTCTTTAGCCTTCATTGCTAAAGATTAATAGTAAGGAGTACTATGTGGAATGAGATTAGTAGTTTAACCTCTTTAAACTCAAATAACAGATTTTAAAAATGGTGTTAATGTCTTGAAAAGATTAATGGGGGTGGGGAAGTGGGATTTGTGAAGCCATATTCTAGCTATACAATTGGCTCTTTGGTGTAGCCACTATTTTATTTTCTTAATACAAAGTGAAACTTGGGGGAGTTTCACGTTAGTACAAATATGATGAGTGATACAAGTATTCATCCCATGTTTGATTTCTGACTAGTGAACCTTGTGTGTGTGGTAACCTAGCGTGTCTGTACATGTGCTCCGGAGTGGGGTGCGAGGGGGCATTTTAATTGGAGCAGCTTGCAGGAGCTGCTCTAAAACATCTGTGGCGTCTCATGTATTCAGAGTCCCCACATTTCAAAATGGCAGCAGGGGTGCTTTAAGTTAAAGCACCCTCGCTGCAATTTTGAAACATGGGGACTGAATACATGAGACGCTGCAGCATGCTGAACTATTCTGATTAGACTGCTCCAGCAGATGCGATTCATTGAGTCTGCTCTGAAGTGTTCTAATCGGAACGCATCGGAGCATGTGTAAAATTGCCCCTAAACCACAAAAATGATCCAAAAGCCTTTACTAAAATCAGTGGAAAGAAGTACTTAATTTCATATGCAGTGTTATCCTCTGTACCCTGTGCATTATTTTGCTGTAGTTAAAGTGTATATGAGTATTGTAGGTTTGGAATTGACTTCTGTTATCTTTAAATGTGTCTATAAATCACCTACCTGTCATAAGACACAAGCATAGGTTTTGAATTGTTTTGTCTTGAGTAGTGTGTTTAATTCTATACATATAATGTTCCTTTGTCTTGTAGGGTTCTTTCTTAAAACTGAATGCCCTTTAAGGGGGATGCTTGATTGCAGATTGTGTAGATTTGTAAATAAATGGCTTGTATCACTGCTTGTTTTCCACCTTTCATCCATCATTTTATTTTATCTTTCTGCTTTCTTATGGAGACCTTTAAATTTGAGGTAACTTTTTTTTTTTAAAAGCTTTTAATCATTGCATTGTAATTTTGTTCTTTGAAGAGAATTTCAAGTTCCTGTTCAACTGATATATTTGTTTGTCCATTATTCATTGCAAATGCATCAGCCAGCAGATACAAATGATTTGTCATCTGTTTGTTGCCTGTTTAGTAATGCAATGTGAGTTCTTATTTTTAATGACAGTTCGATCTTACAGAAACTGTTTCCTATATATTTTTATTGTTCCTAGTGAAAATGACTCCAACAGTGTCTGACTTGCAGAAATTTGCCAAACTTCTGTATGTCTTACGCATTACTACCTGTTTTGCAGAATACCTATAGAATTCCATAAATTTTCTCACAAAACTGTTTATCTGTACAGTGGGATGCTTGGGGTGTTTTTAATTGACAAGTCAGCAACAAAAACAGTATGCATGCCTTTTATTTAAAAAAATAAACAAAAAAGTAAGAGTTAATAGCAACATATATTCATATACCAAATGTGCTTATCCATTCGTTCTGCTCTTCTTTTTATGAACAAGACAGAGTGAGTAATTTGTCTCTGCCTATTAGCTGTTTACATTTATCTGGTATCTTTTACATTACTCTGTGTAAAACTTCTGAAAGACACGTGATCCTTTTTAGAAGGGGGATGCGATTTATATTAACACATGAGCTTGTGATCAGTGTTTATTTTTTCATACCTTCCACAGAAATCTTATGGCTTCATGCAGTTTGGGAAATGGAAATCAGCTGTAAGAAATGATGCTGTTTGTGCACAAAGTGCATTTTATTTTTGTTATGCATCTTTAATGAAGAAAACTGCTGAAAAATGTCTTTGCAGAAACGTTAAAGAAAAGAATTAGTAGCAGCCAAATGAGATGTTGAGATTCATTAAATAAAAATGTAACTAGGGAACTCAATATGTATTCATATCTTATTAAAAGTAGATACTTTGTCTTCCAGTTTAAAGATCAGATCTTAATTCCTACATCCATGTATGGAGAGGCTTTCTATACTTGTGTATAACTGTCCTACCACATCCATTTTTCCCCACTTGCATTAAAGTCTGGGGTCTTTGCTAGGGAGGAATAGTGACCAGGCATATATTGAGTCCGAGGCATGACAGGGCAGTTTGGCATCTGGGCCAGTGGTGATGTGTGGAGACAGTGGTAACTTCCAGCTGCTGGTGCTACCAATATGGTCATGCAGTTGTGATGGCAGCTGTTATTTTTCTGTATCGCTTCCAAGTTGCTGCCAAAGGGTGCCACTATGGTCTTTCCACCTTAGGTTACTGCATTGAGTATTTGTCCCTGGAGGGATAGCAGTGGATGGTTATCTCTAGGGCTAAGTACAGACAGTCAAAAAGCCAGAAGCTGAACTGATTCAGTCTTTGCAGATTAGTCTAAACTGCATAGTTTAAATTGAGAAGCAAGTGAACAGACATTCACTTTTGATTCAGGAAATGCAGCCACATGGCTGCAGTGGCTCAGGCCAGAAGCCAGGGATGCTAGATCTAGCATGCCTCTCAGCCTGCCAGCCACTGGCAAAGGGAAGGGACTGAAGCTCCAAGGCTTTCCCTGCTCCCTGCTTGACTGGAGGGGGCATGGCCAAGCCCCAGCCCAGGCCTAGCACACTGAGGGTTTGCCGGGGGGGAGGTGGGGGCGGGGGGAAGAGTTGCTCCAGTCAGGCTTTCCTCTGCTTCCAGGCTGATCTACCATGTTGGGGAGGGGCTTAAACCTGGCCTGCAAGGTACTCCAGGCCGGGTCTGCCAAGGTGAGGGGGGCAGCCCCTGCTAGGCTGAGGAGGGAGTGGTTGGGGAAAAAGGTAATGGCATTGAATTCATCAAAGCTTGAACAAGAATAGCCCTTTCCCTGTGGGCTGTGAAGGAGATTTAAACCTCACTTCCTCCCATCTGCCTTAGCCTGCTGGCCTGCCTGACATCTGACCATGCCCCCACTCCCTCTGCTCAGGTGGGGAAAAGCCTGGCAGGGGCAGGCAGACTAGGCTGTGGTCCCCAGCTGGGTTTCCTAGCCCTACCCCCACCCCTTTGCTCTGGCTGGGGAGTAGAGGGGCAGGGCCAACCCTGCTCCACTGGAGCAGACAGCCCAGTGTAGCCCAAGGCTGCAAAGCATCCTGGGATCCTGGGGGACAGAGTTAACTTGAACCAGGAAGGGGTCTGGGACAGAAGTTCCATAAACCAGTTTGACATAAATTAGTTAAGTCTGATACTACATTCAGCTAGGTTCATCTTAAACCAGTTTTGGCCATTTTGAAAATGGTTTATGTGCATTGAACTTCTGTTCTGTTATAGATTTAAACCAGTTTCTGATCACAAACCCGTTTATATGTAACTTCTGTCCTTAGCCCAAAAATATTATATGCCTTCATCGCTGTCTGTGAACAATCCAAAATTGTTATTTATTCTCATGGCACTTCTGCAAGGTTAGAGAAAATTTGTTCTCATTTTACAAATGGAAAACTAAGGCACAGAATAGGTGAAGTAACTTTCTAAAGGTCAGGCATTGGTGAGACCTCTGCTGGAGTAGTGTGTCCAGTTTTGCATCTCACACTTCAAGAAGGATTTGAATTATCTGGAAAGACTCCAGTTCTGAACAACAAAAATGCTTAAGTGCCTATAAGGCTATACTTAAGAGGAAAGGCTGAAAGAGCTAGGGTTATTTAGCCTGGAGAAGAGAACACTGAGGGGGAGCAGGGGGGGATTTGATAACAGTCTTCAAATACCTGAAGAGTGATTACAGAGAGGCTGGCGATGGGCTGTTCTCTGTGCCCATAGGGGACTGGATTAGACACAATGGCCTCAAGCTGCAGCAGAAGAAGTTTTAAGTTGGAGATGAGGAACTTTCTGATTATGAGGGTAGTCAAGCATTGGAACAGGTTACCCAGAGAAATTGTGGACTCTCCATCCCTGGAAGTTTTCAAGAGCAGGTTGGACAGGCACTTAGCCTACATGGTTTAGTTGGAGATGATCCTATCTTGAACAGGAGGCTTGACTAGATGACCTTTTTAGGCCCCCTCCAGCCCTGCTTTTCTGTGATCCTATGTAGGAAGCCTGTGGGCAAGCTGGTGATGGGATCCAGTCATCTCAAGTACCCTTTAGTACCTTAGCATGGTACCTTACTATTGCAGGACTGTTGCTCCAATAGAGCCTGATGGACTCCAACCCAAAGCCAAGCTGCAAGAAACATTAAGGTCTCTATGCAGATTCTTTGGAATCTGTCCAATCTCAGGCTGTTTGCCTTTTGCACTGTATTTGGTAAACATAATTTTCTGGAGGGGTGAAAACATGAAGGGGTCTTGGTTAGATCTCCATCTATTGATGCTTGGTGATCGGGACCAAAGCTTACCCTGTAACTTATATTTAAGAGAGACTAACTTTTTTTGCAGTTTGGTTTATATTTTGCCCTTGGACATCCTGTCTCTATTTGTTAACTTGTCTTTTGTTTTTGGTTTAGGCCACCATAAATCAGTTGAGAGCTGAGCTTGCCAAAGGTCCTCAGGAGGTTGCTGTGTACGTGCAGGAACTACAAAAACTACAAAGCTCAGTTAATGAACTAGAACAGAAAAAACAGGTGAGAATTTTATTACTGTATCTATATTATACACGTATGCAGAAATAGAACAACTTGTTATGGTGAAGGGAGTACTAATAATCCACAGCATGTTTGAAGGTTTTTTGTTTTAAGTTTAAAACCTAAGCTTTCCTTGCGTCTATTACAAGTACAGTATAAATTCAGTTGTGTTAATACTTTCAGCTTGTATTAATACGACATAATATATTTATACTGTATTGCCCATCAAAGTATTCAGAAGTCATCAATCATGCCCCAAAATATGAATCCAAGCTTAAAAATTGTAATTAAATACATTATGGAGTCATTTTTATTTCCTTTCTGGTTTATAGACTATAATTGAGTCATTATCAGGGTTTTCTTCACAACTGTGACAGCTAAAAAAAAAGTTTATTATGCTCATAAAAACGGCCCTCTTCCCTTGCCTCTGCTGCAGGATCTAGAGTTTTAAAGAGCTCTTAAAAATCATGACTTGCACATGGAAAAATAGTAAAATAAAAATAAAAGATAGAATGTTCATATATTTTTGGCCATTTCCCCTCTTGTAGATGTAATAAAACGTATGTACACAGTAATGCATGTTGTAATTATATAAACACTATCTGCTTGTTTTGTAGTTGTATGTCACAGCTCTACCACTTTCAGCATACATCAAGCTAATGTGGTAGTATTAGGGTCATCAGCGCTGGAGGGGGAGCATGTTCTTGTAGTATGCAGGTACCCACTTAGACAAGTGCAACAATGTAGGATCTGTCACAGCTTGCATCTGCTCGGTTATAGCATTGTGTGAGGGGCTTGTGCTGCTCAGAGCACATCCAGCCTGCTTTCTGCTTGGAACAGCAAGGAGATTCCCAATGTAGTAAACCAATCTGTTGTCCCTTATTTTGTGGTCAGGACAACATCAGAACGGAACCTTTCTAATTGTGTATACTTGACTGGGGGTAAGGATCTAGGAAAACCTAAAATTCAGAACCTAAATTAATATTTGTTTGATACCAGAATTGTGGATTGGAACAACTAGAGCTCAGCTGCTGGTTCCTTTCAGCCTTAAGGTACATACAGATGTTCAGGGAGGTTAGATTGCAACAAATCTATGTTCAGGGAGGTTAGATTGGTCCGTCACCAGAGAGGACTATACTGCGGTTGCTTGAGGCTGCAGGGGGGGGCAGTCAGGAAGGCCAAGGCAAAGATGGAACTGGGACTAGCTACCCGGATCAAGGACAACAAGAAGTCCTTTTTTAAATACATGGGGGGCAGAAAGAAGGTACTGGGTAACGTGTGGCCCCTGCAAGACACGCTAGGAAATCTGGTCGTCACACCAGACAACAAAGCTAGCTTATTTAACAGCTTCTTTGCCTCCATTTTCCTGGGCAGGGACCGAATCAGCTTCCCCACTGGGACCCCCTCAGGCCTCAGGGGAGGTGCACCTAGGCCAAGGGTCAGTGAGGATCTAGTCAGGGATCTTCTAAAGGGACTGGACATATTTAAATCAGCTGATCCGGACGATCTCCACCCCAGAGCGCTGAGGGAATTAGCTGAGGTCATTGCTGGACCCCTGGCACGGCTTTACGGGCACTTGTGGTGCTCTGGTGTGGTGCCAGAGGACTGGAAGAGGGCCAATGTGGTTCCCATCTTCAGAAAAGGGAGGAAGGAGGACCTGGGGAACTATAGGCCAGTTAGTCTTGCCTTGATCCTGGGTAAGCTTTTTGAGAGAATTATCCTGGCACATGTCCATGAGGGGCCAACGGGGCTGGTTATGCTTAGGGGCAACCAACACGGGTTCATTAGAGGCAGGTCCTGTCAGACCAACCGGGTGGCCTTCTATGACGAAATCACGAAATCCTTAGATGCAGGGGTAGCAGTGAACATAGTCTTTCTGGACTTTGACACTGTCTCTCACCCCGTTCTCATTAAAAAACTGGGGGACTGTGGTGTCTACAACTACACAGTCAAATGGGTCACCAACCGGCTGGAGGGCCGCACCCAGAGAGTGGTGGTAGATGGGTCCTGTTCGACCTGGAGGGATGTGGCCAGTGGGGTTCTGCAGGGCTCGGACCTCGGGCCCGCACTGTTCAACATCTTCATCAGTGACTTGGACGAGGGGGTAAAAATCACCCTGTTCAAATTTGCTGATGACACTAAGATGTGGGGGGATGTGGGCACATTAGAAG